GTACTTAACAACTATCGTCCCATCTCAAATCTGCCATTTATGGGGAAAGTCCTTGAAAAAGTTGTCTACCTACAGCTTACTAGATTTCTTATAATCAACAACTCATTTGATATGTTTCAGTCCGGCTTTAGACCCCACCACAGCACTGAGACTGCTCTCGTCAAGGTTACAAATGATATCCGGCTGAACACTGACGCAGGCAAAGTCTCAATCCTAATCCTGTTAGATCTAAGTGCTGCCTTTGACACTGTCGACCATGAGATCCTCTTACAGAGACTAGAGGACTGGGTTGGCGTCGCTGGCTCCGCCCTAAGTTGGTTTAGGTCTTACCTTGAAGACAGGAAGTACTTTGTGGAGATTGGAAACTGTGTCTCAGATCATGTGGCCCTGACCTGTGGAGTCCCACAGGGGTCGATCCTGGGACCTCTTCTGTTCAATCTCTACATGCTGCCGTTAGGTCAGTTAATACGCAGAAACAAAGTTTCCTATCATAACTATGCAGACGACACTCAGATCTATGTCTCACTGACTGCAGGAGAACATGGACCAGTGGACTCACTCCTTCACTGTATCCAACAGATCAGTGAGTGGATGCAAAACAACTTCCTTCAGCTAAACGCAGACAAAACTGAAATGATTGTCTTTGGTCCCCAGAAACAAAGAGAGAGCGTCATCTGTCATCTACAGTCTCTCTCCCTAAAACCTTCAAACAAGGTCAGAAATCTAGGGGTAATACTGGACTCAGACTTAGATTTTAATAGCCACATCAAATCAGTAACATCAGCAGCTTTTTACCATCTAAAAAACGTTGCCAGGATCAAAAACATAGTGTCTAAAGCAGACCTGGAGATTCTTATCCATGCATTTGTCTCCAGTAGGTTAGACTACTGCAATGGCCTGCTCACAGGTCTGTCCAAACAGGCTGTAAAACAGCTGCAGTACATTCAAAATGCAGCAGCTCGAGTCCTGACTAGAACCAGGAAGTACGACCACATTAGTCCAGTCCTCAGGTCCCTGCACTGGCTTCCTGTGGCTCAGAGAATAGACTTTAAAACAGCTCTGCTTGTGTACAAGTCTCTCCATGGCCTCGCACCAAAATATATTAGTGACATGTTAGTCCCATATGAACCAGCCCGGACTCTGAGGAGCACAGGGACTGGACTCCTGTTAGTGCCCAGAGTCAGAACTAAACATGGGGAGGCTGCTTTTCAGATTCATGCTGCTAAAATCTGGAACAATCTTCCTGAAGATGTGAGACAGGCCTCCTCTCTGACAATGTTTAAAACCAGGTACAAAACGGTGCTGTTTAGCTGTGCATACAACTGAGGGATTTTATATTTTTATCTTTCGTTTTAATGTTCTGTAATTATTTATGATTTTAATGCATCTTGTTCAGCACTTTGAGTTGCCTTGTGTATGAATTGTGCTATACAAATAAACTTGCCTTGCCTTGCCTTGCCTAATTATCCATCTTTGCTTGTGTTTTTATCCAGCAGAGATGGAGAGCACATTATTCTTCCCTCCAAAAGCATAATGAGTAATGTCTTAATGACAGAGCAGAGTCCGAGCCTGTAACGGAGACTGGATTATTTTGTACTTTCATCAAACTGGCCTCAAAGCCACTATTTACTGAAGTCATCAAACCAAGACCAGCCAAACCAGGACTAGCCCAAACCAAGACCAGCCAAGCCAGGACCAGTCCAAACCAGCACCAGACAAACTAGAACCAACTTAAACCAGGACCACCTCGAATCAGGACCAGCCCAAACCAAGTCCAGCCAAACCAGGACTAGCCCAAACCAGGACCAGGCCGATCCAGGACCAGTCCAAACCAGGCCAATCAGGACCAGCCAAACCCGCACCAGGCAAACCAGGACCAGCTCAAACCAGGACCAGCCAAACCAGCCCCAGCCCAAACCAGGACCAGCCCAAATCAAGACCAGGACCAGCCAAACTAGGACCAGCCCAAACTAGGACCAGCAAAATCAGCTCCAGCCCAAACAAGGACCAGCCAAACCAGGACAGACCAAACCAGGACCAGCCCAAACCAGGACCAGCAAAATCAGCTCCAGCTCAAACAAGGACCAGCCAAACCAGGACCAGCCCAAACCAGGACCAGCCCAAACCAGGACCAGCCAAACCAGGACCAGCCCAAACCAGGACCAGCCCAAACCAGGACCAGCCCAAACCAAGACCAGCCAAAACCAGGACCAGCCAAACCAGGACAGACCAAACCAGGACCAGTCCAAACCAGGACCAGCCAAACCAGGACAGACCAAACCAGGACAGACCAAACCAGGACCAGCCAAACCAGGACAGACCAAACCAGGACAGACCAAACCAGTACCAGCCCAAACCAGGACCAGCCAAAACCAGGACCAGCCAAACCAGGACCAGCCCAAACCAGGACCAGCCAAACCAGGACCAGGCCAAACCAGGACCACCCAAACCAGTACCAGCCCAAACCAGGACCAGGCCAAACCAGGACCAGCCAAACCCGGCCGCTCCATAGCATCCCTGATAGGAGCTGACAGAGGGGATCACCGATGACCAGCGGCGGCCTCCTCCTCCTCCTCTCTGTGTCCTAATCAGAGCTGTCAGATGATATGTAAATGAAATGCGTTAATGGGTTTTGTAATTAGAGCAGAGAGGTGTCCGGGCGCCCCTCTTCATCACTGATTAGTCTTGGCTTTAATCGCTCCATCTAAAGCGCCTCTGAGACCAGGGAGTCCCAGTCCAGCACCAGCAAACACCGCTGCGCTCACACGGCTTTGATAAGAGCTCAGACCGATGCTCGCTTATGATGAAGGAAATGATGTCAGTTCAAATAGTCTATGGAAAAGAAAGTGCTTTTTATGACTCTTATTCATCATAAAAAGATGAATTTGTGTCTATTGTCTCGGCTCCAATAGATTTGAATGTGGAACCCAGGAGTCTCTTTATGGCATAAGTGAGGCCTCCACACAAAAACACATGGATTTTTTATTCTGTGACTTATACCATCATTTATAAAGAAATCCCACTCTCTTTTAAATCATTTTTTGTGAAAATCTACAAAATACTTGCATGTGAAAGCCAGATTCCGTCAGACTGCTGAAGCTGTGCTGGGCAGGGGCTGGTTAGTACTGTGATGGGAGACCTCTGGGAACACCAGGTGCCACAGTGGGGCTATTGTGGCTGTAAAGTGCCAAACTGTCGCTGTGTCCTTAGGCAAGACACTTCACCCACATTGCCTAGAATGAGTCTGGTGTGTGTTTGAATGGTTGGTGGTGGTCGGAGGACTCTATATAAATCGATGCGTTGTTTTTATGATTACTAAAAAAACCTTATTTGATTTATATTAATTTGTGAAATAAAGCTCAATTTTGTCGTGGTTTTGACAGAATGACAGAACCAGCCAAGGCCCAAGTAGACTACAGAATTTATTTTTATTTTTTTACTTTAGTCAGCACTGGCTTTTGTCCACAACTTGAGAGTTGCTGTAGGAGCTGGACGCGTCCCTCTCTGTCTGTGTCTTGGACCACTGCGAGACATTTTGCTCCGTCCTGAGTGGTTGCAGTCCAGTTCCTGCTGGACTGCAACCAGATAAAAAAAATCAAATTATTTCTTGTACTCTTACATCATTTTTATATTGCATTTTTCAAGTTTAATCCCCAGGTTTATGCATTTATATAAGTAAAGTAAATATTTTTTAAACTATTGTGTGAGTATTTACTCAAAGTGCATACAGTATATTTGTTTTATTTATGTTTATGTTATAAATTAAATTATTATAAAAGAGTCAAGGTTAAAAGCCTTTGAAATGACGGTATTTGTTAAAAGTATTTTAATATTGTAATGCATTAAAAAGGGTACAAACATTTATATGAGGAAAATGCAGAGAAAATTGTGTGTGATGCTAAAACTTTGATAAATAATTGACTTTAGTTTGAAATGAAAACGTATCGATTCTGATCATGTTTTCAACTTTCCTGAAATGGCTTCAGTGCAGAAGGCTTTATGTTTTGGGGCCTGTTTTCCATCCTTTCAGATTCAAATTCATTTCATTTTCCATTTGCAGTAAAAACCACAGTGCACCAGACAAGAAAATACAACAAAAATACAAGAAAAGATGATCACGGTAAAAACCGTTTCTAAACAAGTGCAAGAACATTACAGCACTGCAAAAAATGCACTTGCTTTATTTTCTCATTTCAAGAGAGACACTTCTGGTATATCTTTAAAACAAGATCATTTTCGCTTTGTCCCATCGGCAAATCTTGGCAAAATGTGCTTAAATTCAGATACATTTAGCCAAATTTGAGAAATTTTTCACGTATTTTCATCACTTTTTGCAGTACTTTGTTTAAACACTTAACTTTTACAAGACTCTTTCTGTTACGACAAAAACATGTGTTATTTATTGAAAATGTTTGGTTGTTGATTGGTTGATTTCATGTGATAATCTCAATCTGATATCTGATAGCCACTTTTTTGTTGACACTTTCTATATCGCTGCTAAATACTGTACTGTAACTTTGTAATGCACCTTATACCAGTAATTAGCCCATTTTACATTTTCTGCTAAATTTTCATTATATTGTATCTTGCCCATTGTGACTGGGGACTTGGAAACTTTTTACTGATCTGTATTTTAAAATGTATGTTATATATTTTTGTTTTGTCAAGGACTACAGATGGAAAGTACCACGGTGCAAAATCTGGTGCAGCCAACTTTTTTTTTAATGTAACTGCACATTATCCTTAACAAATCCAACTCTGAACTCTAAACTCAACACTAATATCCGTATTTTTCCACATTTTTTCCTTAGCCTTCTCCTGCTGCGGCCCATACCAACCCCCGGATCTCCCCGTGTGTGGAGGAGGAGTGGTACAGCCCAGCGCTCTCATCTCTCCTGTATCTCTCAGCTTCACTCTGCTCCTCTACCTCAGCCCACACCATCCTCCTCCTCTCCCTCTCTCTCTCTCTCCTCTTCATCCTCTCTTCTTTGGTTCAAACAATGACCCATTTTCGGAGCGACCAGCACCAAGATCCGCGTGAGTACCGCAGACGAGAGCATCCCCATTTACACACAATTTACACACAATATATTCAGAATTGACACAGGGAATGGGCTGATATGAGCGCTGTGTTGGGTGCCTCTGCTCATAGTTTGGCTCAGAGTTACTGTGCCGGTTTGAAAAGGCTTTTGGCATTAAGTGGAAGGGATGAGATTACTCAGCGTTTGCTACAGGATGTGAAACTTTGCTGCTAGTTAATGCTTGTTTTGGGAATAATAGACAGTTTATTGGTGCTGATTTGTGGCAAACTCAGGCTTAATACTAAACCTTATCAAACAGCTGAGAGGAAATGTGAAAGAAACGTTTAATTCATGCTTTCAATATTGTGTTGTAAGTGAAAATTAGTTATATAAGGGGATGGCTGTAAGTGACATACAATATTATAATATTTTAGTATGGGTAGCAGACTGCATATGGTTACTCATGCCAAAACCTTATTTATTCACTTAATATTAATGTATTTTATATTCATTAACAACCAGAAATATAGTGTTATAGTAATAGGAACACGAAGTAGTAGTAGTTGTAGTTGAAATGGTACTGACATTTTTTATATTTGATCTTAACTCGTTTTAATGCACTGCGGCCATTGATTTGATTTTATTCCCATGCGTGATTTTAATTTTTTGATTTTTTCTATTTACTTGTGTGATCATATTTTTGTATCAGTTTTAGTAGTAACAGTAGTAGTAACATTCAAACATCATTTATGATCCAAAATGTGTGTTTTTGCTGTTCAGTGGATTAGGATTGAAAGGTTTGGTTCTGAGATTCTGAAACCCGGATATTTTAAACAACTTGTTGGCTGCTACTGTATGTATTTGTTATCATTACACTGCCTGTGTTTCAAC